TACACACACACACACACACACACATATATATATATATATATATATATATGTATAATTTATTTTAACTCAGTTCTCACATGTACCTATGTATGTATAAAAACGCTGAGTGAAAAAGATTTGTTTTGAATTTTGCTAATAATGTATAAAACAAGTATATTAATAGCAGTCATTCAATAATTAGAAACTGCAATTGGACATAAAGCCAAATTACGATTAAAATTGATTTCGTTTGATGTAATTAATCCAAATTAATTATTGATTTGCATGTTATTCAAAACTTTTAAATAATTGTCAGATGTAAGTCATCGTTTCTCTTAGTTTATAATGCGTTAGCTTCAAAAAGCGCTACTATCTTATATTTCGGTGACAATGTGACAATAGTTCTTATAATTTTCAATGTCATTATTTTTGCTTCATATGTAATAAATATAACTGTCGATCAGTGAGGATAATAACATGTATGTTTAAGATTAAAAAATGGTAAAATGTGTTCAACAGCTAATACAAATAAAGATGGTTCTCTATATTTCTTTTTAGTTAATGAACTATAGTCTAAGTCAATTTTTAGCCTCCTGAAAAAGTCTGTAACTATGCGAACTTTATTTTTCTCTTGGTTTTATTTTTGTTTTTCACAGAATGATGTAATGCCATAATTTGTATCCCTAATTATCGTAAGATTAAATTTCATGATTCAAGGACTTTATTTCTGTAATTTTTCTGAAAAATTTTAATGTTATTCGTATACATATATAAAATAACAATTACAAGAATTGAATATGGATCTGGTTTAACAAGTGAAGTTTTTACATCAATTCTTTGTATTAACATTGTAAAATATTTCCCACAACCAATATTAACATATAAGGTTTTTTTAAGCATGCTAAAAATAGTAAAGATTCAATGATACAAAATACAATTTTCTTATAGTTATAATAATATATTGTTAAACGTAACTTATATTCTTCTCTTTGAAACACTTTAAATATTTATTATTAATAAAATTACATTACATAAATAATTATCACATAAATCTTTATGATTAACATTATAATATGAGAAATATTTTAAATGAAGAATAGAACTTATATTCAGCAAACAAAATGTTAGTAGTATATGCTATTAGTTTGTCAGCAGAAATTGATCATAATCTGTCATTTCATAATCATTTAAACGGTTATGAAATAACTAGTTTCTGCTCAGTTTCTGTAGTGTACCATTATATTTCTATTAATAGATTTCATTGTTTTCGCGAACAAAATGTAAATTATAGCGAACATTTGCAAAATTTTTTTTTTACAGATTTGATTGTTCGAAATAATTGCGACTTTCTATCATTATTAAAAATCGATAGAACTAAAATTACAAATATATTTCTCGAAATAATTGGCTACAGATCCATATTTTTTCTATTACGTCTAAAAATGTACAAAAATTATATCATAATTATAATGTTTGTAATCGGCAATATCATCTTCAATAAATTATATAAAACATTTTTTCTTAAAGAATTTAAAATAAAAAATTATAAAGAAATATTATCTCTTTCAGACGAAAAACCAGGAAAACCAAAACCATTAGATCTGTACTGTTGCAGTCAAGTGTAGATCATATAGAACTTGTGCAGTATCTTACTAAAGTAAGATAAAAGTATCTAAATATATATATAACCTATGGTTAAAGTCAGTTAAAGCATGAGTACGCTTAGTGTTTAGTGACGTTTAGGTTTAGCAAATCAAGAATGTTAGGAATTCATAACATTACATGAATGAAGCTTCAGTTTTTCAAGACTTTTTCGAAGAGAAAATTTTATGATGGATTTATGACATAACAACTAGATGTTATATGAAAAATGATACATAAGAATTCATCTCACCTATAAGATGGCTGCTTGGATCAACATAACTTCAAAGTATACTCTTGTTAAAATATTACAAACATAATTAGCACACGTACTTTGATAGTTAATAGCATCATAAAAGATAATGCCAATAAAGCAAACTTACAAGCGCTCCGAAAATCATCTTATTTTTATTATTTTCGTGCTGTACTGTTTATATAGCTAAATATAGCACATTACCTCAGTGACAACTTAATTTTCTTATTAAATTAATCTTATCAGTAACATGCAAATTTATTTGTATTATTGTTTTAACAGACTGGAGCATGGTTTGAAGATAGTGGCTCGAGTAGATAATAGCAAATTCCGACTTCTTGTTAACCGTATATGCCAGACCCTACAATCGAGCATTGACATGAAGGTGTTCAATGAAAAGGAAGAGGAAAAGCTGTTAGTTTCCTTAGATCTGACGAAAAATGAATTAGCTCTTCTGCTGGATACTATTACATCTGTCTACACGCAGGCTGCATGTAGCGTTGTCAAACCATCTGTCATGGAAGCAGTCATAAAAGATAATTTTAAATTAGACGAAGAAAAAATGTCAATCTTTACAAATGCCTGGATGACTTATGGAAAGGGTATTGTAGAGAATCTAAGGCAACAGTCTATTTTTCCTACTCAGGTATTTCAATATAGATAAAAAAAGATATTTGACGAATTATACAATTAGTGCACATTGATCATGGGGTGAATGAGAAAGGAATACATATATTTCTATATCGACTGAAAAATAATATTCTTTTTATATGATATTTAATATTTACTGTTTGTCATATTTGTGTTTGAAATAAGATGTTCATAGAAACTATTTAGAAAGGAAGATCTAAGTTTGAATTTTGGCTGGAAAGATATTTTTCGTGTATAAATAATTTCCTAATTTTACCAAATACTTATTTAATAATATTAAAATGTACATCAATTTAATGTGAAATTATATTTTTATCTTTGGTACAAGAATATTTCAAGACTAAATAATCGGCCCATGATTCGAAAGCAAAAAAATAAAATGTATAATATTCATAAAAAATTAATATTACTCAATGACTAAAAATATCAATCTTTTTTTATTCCGTATTATATATATTTCTTGTATATAATTTATATTTATTAAACTACATTTCTCTTTTATTTGACAAGGTGAAAGATATCAATTGGTGCCTAAATGTGCAATCATCGTCCTCTGCAATTTCCAAAGATGCACGACCTGTAGCATTGCTCCAACTAGGTCTGACTGGTGATAAGACATCTACGTTAACAATGGAGTTTGACAAGAAGCAATTAACAGAGCTTTATTATAATTTAGAAAAAATCCAAACTCAGCTAGATGCTCTTAAATAACATGGTTAATGTAGCTATTTATACACTACGCTTATATACTATAAGTAATCAATAAGTGTAATTTATTATGTAAAAATATATTTTGCAACATGCTTTTTTACATGTTTATTAGATTATCACAAGTGCGTGCTATTGTTATTTTTGTAGTTATTTTCTAACTTGTATATTTTTTGTTTCTAATTGTATATTTTTTAATAAATTGCAATGAAAATAATTTTACATTTATTTGCACACATATACAAGCGTCTGCTTTTTAAAAACAAATGTAATATTGGTCTTTGTCGCGCAATAAAGATAAATCTTTGGTAAATTAATTCTGTGACAATGAAGTTAAAATATAGCTTCTAGGTAAATACTTGTATGTATTTTTATTTTCTCGACAAATGTTTATGAAAATATAATCACATCTTTATGAAAATATAATCATACTTTTATGAAATGAATTTAAAATAATTATTACTGTCATGTTTCAATTAAGTCTCAATTTCATAACTCATTTCTTATCAGGTCATTTTATAATTTAATATAATAATATTCCATTTTGTTTTAATTCTGTAAATTTTTAATTTTCATTTTTGCTACATTTTTGTTGCAAAAACTTTATTCATCTTGTTCACTAAAAAAAAATTAAAATTTAATACTTGATTGATCTTACTACTTTTCAGATACTTGTCGATATCAGAATATTAAGATCAATCTAAGATGCTTATGAGCATCAATGTAATTAAATTGCTTAATTATCAATTGCAATTACATCATTATATATAAATGAATTTGATAGTAATAAATATTTACTTATAAAAAATATACATTAAGAGACCATTGTCGATTTGTATACGTTTTAGTATTATTTTTTGGCTACCAATACTATTGTTTATGATAAAAACGATCGTAAACTGCCGTATTTTGCTGCAACACATGATGAGACAAAGAGAATGTCTGTGCTGATGTTCTGTCGCAATCCTACCATTTACTGGCATCACTTCTATAGGAAGAGGTCGATTATGTCTTTACAGTTATGATCGCGCCTTTTCTCTTTGACGATAACATCAAACTGGTTATAAAATTTAATAAAATTCTTTTTTCTATTTATATTTATACTAGTAAATTTGCGTAATGTTCTCTCAATATACGAATTGTTAAAGAATATTATTACAACCACTTGTGATATTTTTTTTACAACAGACGTATTGACACAAATTCAAAAAAGATGTATTATAATGATTCTTTTTCTTTTAAAGAAAAATTCTATAAAAACGTGTTTAATCAATAAATATTAATTGATAATCCTACGCGCTATTTAATATATCAACTTAAAACATGTAATAACCTCAGTGAGCCACTCACAATACAAAGGTTTTATTTGACGTTACAATGTTAAGTGACAATTTTCCTTATTTAACATTTGGTCAACAATAAAGATGAAATAATTCTGAGAACACTGTGAGCATCATATAATAACATACAATATGTATCGAGATGATTATTTAGCATTATGGAAAAAGGATAACAATTAGATGCGATAGAAAAGAGCTAGAGTATTGACTTAAATTTATATTACATTTACAGAATTTTTTAAGAAAGCATATATACATCTGTTTTTATGTAATTACTTCTTATTTGCTAGAAATATACAATAATGTTAAAATTGTAAGAATATATTCTTATTTTAATTATACATATATATTGTAAAATATATATTTACACAAATTTATGAAAGTTGCTAAAGTAGTTCTATACATACGAAATATTGACTTTTGTTTATAACTTTCAAGTGTTTGTAACTTTTACAAAACGTAGTCTTTTTGCTTCTCTAATTTAAATGTTGATAATTAATATATTATAGTACACCATTCTCGAAGGTTTTAGATGATATTCCGTGAGCTTTCTCCACACGCGGACTTCTGTTAGGCAGGACGCTCTCAAGGCTCGAACTGTGACTGTTGTCTTCAATAAATTGAAAATTGATCTTTCCCTGATTCTCAATATGTTTCTCTCTGCATGATCTCGCGCTCCGTTTCCTTTCTTCAGGAGATAAGGTTTCCAAAACTTTAGGTGTCTTACGGATAAAGATTCGCGCCTTGCACACCACCAACACCACGACTATTATCATCAGGAACAAGACCACGGCCGTTAGAGTCCCCACAATCCATCCTAGTTTCTCATCTGCACACGATACGAAACATGTCAAAAATTATCTCTTGTGTTGCGAGAAGGATGTACAAGATATAATAAAAATGGAAAACTAATAAACTATAAAATAATTTTAAAAAAGAAGTAAGGAATGAATAATGAGATGTGTGCAATAAAAGCAAAGACCTGTTAAAGTGTTCAACAGAACGAGTGTCGCGTTTCCTATCTCGACATCGGCATTATCATTGTTGATCGTAAATCTGCAGGTCCATTGTCCTAGATCAGTGTGATCCGGTTTGAAGATCAGCTTGCATACACCTGTAGTATAATCCATTTGCAAGCTGTGCCTGCATTACGGCGTAAGAAAAGTGTGTTACAATGGATGCATAATAAGAAAGACAATATAATATGTATTAGGTACCGCGGAAAGTTTGTGTCGGTTTTTCAAGAGATATATTTATAGGGGAAAAAAAAACTTTTCGCGATATCTAATATATTGCAAAAGATATTACCTCGTTTTTTTCGCAAGCTGCCTGCTGGAGTTTTGATATACGTGAACATTTGGAGCGTGAATCCAGTGGCATTTGGCCTCCGATGACACAGATCCGACTCTACACGCAAGAGTGACCATTTTGTGAGGTGCAGCCCAAACTGCGATAGTGACGGGGTCTAAAAAAAAAACGATCAATACTTCTTGAATTGATCTTTCTTTTAATCCTTACAGCCTCAAGGATTTTTCAAAATCCACAGTTCATCAAAAATATTTATCAAAAGTATTACATATTGTTAAATTTAATGTGTTATATCTTGCTTATCGTTATACAGTAGACTCTCGAATATTTTAAGTGTCAAAAATATTAAAATATTTATGATTTCATTTTTTTTTACTGAACCAGTTTTTCTCTAACACTTCCGAGTTTTTAAAAATCGCTTTTTTGTTAAAGAGACAAATTTGCTTTTAACGTGGATTTTTCTTGAGACCATCAGGAAAGCAGTTTTTGAAGTTTTTCCCACTCACCAAAAATCGCTAAATCTCCGGTGCAGATTATCCATTTTGATCACCAACCACCATACGTTTGTGCATCGATGACTGTCGTGGCTTGATAGATGTTTGAATCGTTAGATCGTGCAACGCTGATTTCGCGTGCATTGATGACATTAGAAAAATCCCAAAAGAAATATTTCAAGCGCTATATTTATCAAACAATATTCAAACATTTTAATGTTAGACGTAAATGTCACAAGTAAACTGTGTGAAATAAAAATTATATTAAAAATATTGTTTTCTATATTAAAATATCAAGTTAAAGGACGATGGTTTATATGAAATATTAAATATTCTATCTATAGCTTATATTTCATATACTTATGTGTGTATAATTTTGTATTACTATCGCGTTGCTTGAAATCGATAGACTAAATGTAACAATAATATAACTTCTTCGTAAATGTCATGTCTTCTCTAAAAAATTAGCGCCTGCAATATTTTTCCGTGGATATATTTGATTAATTATCGCTATTTGTGTTGTGCGCATCAGAAATTGTGGCAGCCGCCTTAAACCCAAAAAGAGCTCCTTCAGGTTCAGCTGTAATGTAGTTAGTAACGGGATGATGGAAATGAGAAGGTCGCTGTGACATTTTCACATTACTATTTATTTAGACGAGAAAGAAAAAAAAACAGTTTACAGCAACTCAGAGACTCAAAACGCGCTCGAAGACGCGCGAATACCTCGCGGTGCTTAACGATACTTAATGGCACATGAAGATTCATACACTCTGCGAGTGAATCGCTACTCAAATTTGATCGCGTGCATATTTTGTCATTGTAATTATTTGTAAAGCACAGCATTAACGTAGAGTATAATATCTGCATTCGTGACTGAACAGATAATTAATTGCCTCTGTAATTATGCTAGTTTAAATTAAATTTGTTTGAAACTCCTCATAGTAAAGTTTACGGTTCAAGAAATATTTAATTAGTTATTGGAGACCTAAAATGACATGAGATGATGCCTTTGCACTATTGATCAACGAGCTGAACGAATGTTACTCGTCGCGAACATGAATTTTCTGAACGCTAAAACCTTAACGCTAAAAATTGCCTACTTAGTATTAAATGCACTAGCGGCTAATCATAAGTCATAATTATGAATCGTATATATAACGGACATATATGAAAATCGACTACAAGTTAAACAATGAAAGGTAGAAGCGTGATATTAACTTAAGGATAATGACTTTCTATAATAAATAATGTGAAATGTGGGACGGGAGACGCAGTCAGTGATGCTTGTGTATACATTTATCTATCGTCGTTTAATACTCTCATTTAGATAATTTTTTATTAATTTGTAACTTATTGTGTGTGGTTCTACTATATTTTTATATATACAAAATATATGTATTTCATAAAGACCACATTGAGTTCTAAATCATCATTCAATTATTTAAAAATAGACTAAGAAAGTAATATAAGCAATTATTATTGCAACATTATTGGAATCAGGAAAAATTATCTAATTAATTTTAATTAAAGTTAGACGAAAAATTAGTTATTTGATCTTTTCTCTGTAATCTATAAATTCGTAGATAACATAATGCAGGATACTATGTGAGAAACTTTTTGTATAAAATATTTTCTCTTATATATAATATTTTTAATTTATATACATATATCGATGTTAAAATCATAAATTTCGCGCTTTATTTAACTAGAATGTTTGTTAACTAAATGCAAAATCTCGTTTAAACGCAGTCTCGCCGTATTAAAAATATAAATAGGAAATTGTGAATGGCATTGCTAATAATAAATATTTTTAAAGAAGAAAATAATTTCATGTACTAATCGAGAACAAATGTAAAAAATAAGAAATATAATAAACTTTTCATTTTTAATTTATCCTTTAATGGCTATTTGCAATATAG